TAAGGAACACCCAAAACTGGAAAATAAAAAAAATACTGTAATGCATCATCAAATGACCTCGGCACATTCATATTTCCTCACCCAGCTTATAAACTGTCTATTTTATCTGCTGAAACATAACCAAAGTCAAACTGCCACACTGAATTCAGTGATTTTGGCCACAAATAATTATGGATTTTAACATACCTTGGTGCTAAAATATTCATGCCATGTGCATTCAAAATAGATGTTACCATTTTGTAACAAACTCTTCTATAACAAGAAATATGCATCTTCTTTTCAAAATAAATTGCACTGTGCTCAATTTTTGAAACTATTTTGGTTTATCAGGATGCAAGACACATGATCCAAAAATAAGTTCACAGCTATCATTCTGCATTCCACTACCAAGCCCTTAAATCTATACAAGAAATTACCAAGCATCTATCACAGGTTTTAGGGAACTTCCAGATGAAACTCAGTACACACTTCAAGGGCCATTAATTACTGACAAAAAGATTTAAAATCATGAAACACTAGCATAAAGTAACTGCTCTTCATTTTGCAACATGTAAAGCTAAAGGATGAAAAATAAAAATAAATATGTTTGCTTTAAGGAGCGTGTTTCACAAATGTAGATAGTTTCATTCATTCTTAATGTTGGATGCAAGTCGCCGATCACAGGTGTGAGAGAATTTTAAAAATTGTAAACTGAAGAGAAATAAATGTGAAAGACAACATAAATAAATTATTAACTATTTGTCTGACCCAAAAAATTCAACAAAGTTGCTAACGCTGTACAATTAGACAAACAATGCCTAAAAATACATTCATAGTAAACTCATCTTCAAAACCACAAGGATCAAAAAGGTGGAAGAAGAAGAAGAAGAAAATGCTAATTTATTGTCACAGACAGAAGCAATTAGCATAGTCAGAGGGTGCCTAACATTTGGTCACAAACAACCTCTTCTAAACCAGTGTGAAATAAAAACAAAAACATCCACATTGTAAAGTATAAAATAAAAGATGACATGTTTCCTTCTACTCTTACATTTTTTATAAAGGCAAATTTGTAACTTTAGATACAGGATGCCTACTTATATTTGAAAGGATATTTTATAAAAGGTAGCAGAGTTATAAAAATCTGACACACGATGACCTAAAGTAGTACTGATTCATGTTTTATGTTCATTATGATCTGCGAGGCCCAGAATGAAATGAAACTTAGAAATAATTTTTTCCAGCAATATGAGAAAGGACGATTTTTTCACTGGTGTCCATAACATTGAACTTGTTTAACTAAAGAATGTTATGACATTTCATACTAGTGGAAATGTACCTAAAACTTGTCTTGGTGTAAATTTGTGTGGGTAAGTCTGGTGACCAAAAACACCGTAAGTTCCACAGGGATTCCAAAACATATTCTCATTAAATAGAAATTACAACAGCAGTACAAAATTTGTTACAACACGAACTAAAATAGATAGTATAAAATGCTCAACAATTCAAGAGTTTTTAAGATTATTCAAGAACTTTCAGTTTGAAGATGCGTGTCTTCTGGGTTGTTGCGCCGTGTAATCTTGCAGAAGTTTACCGACTTTTCAGAGGTCCTTGCTGCCTCCGTTATCAGAGCGATCTCATCACCCTGATGATGGAGGCAGCAAGGATCTCTGAAAAGTAGGTAAACTTCTACCAGACTACACGACCAACTTTCAGTCTGATTTTCTAACAGTCACATTACTGATGAAAATAAGATGGACTGCAACTGTGTAGGGGGTACTGCAAATGCTACACTTCGACTTAAAAAGTAACACTTAATTGATTAAAATTATCACCAAGTGCACGAATAAAAGTAAAAAACAAACATGTACCAACTTAACCAATTTAATTTATAGAGCATATATTTGTAAATGTATGTAAAATGGGACTTGGAGATAAAAATCTATGATTCTGTATAAGCATAGCATAGTTTCAAATCATAAGCACTGCATGTGTTCAATGAAGTATTAATATATGAGCCATTCCAAACCATGCATATGTGATATAAAAGAGTGAGATTTTACAATAAATACCTTATCATGATTCTGCAAAAATACAGAGAACAAGAATAAGGAGAAGAACAGATAATATAACAATGAGTACAGATACAACAGAGGCAAAAGACATTTCAAAGTACGGCATAGAGTACAGGTATCATTGCACAACAGGGTACTGAATGAAAAGTAAGACTGGCTTAATAGTTGTTTCAAGCAAATCCAGCTACAAGAAAACAATCCAGACCAATTTAACATAATGGCAGACATCTGACCAGCAGAACATTAGAATCTGAGTTGAACTAAACTGACAGTAGCTCATAAGACCATTAAAATAGTTTTATTTTTAATGTGCTTTGTCATGCCTGTTTAAAAATCACAATTCCCATCATTAACTTCAATGTAAAGCATTGTCATCATACAAAATGTTACTGAAAATCAATCAGTTTCATGATCATTCACTTAGCTACATTACACGTAAAACTGCCTTTCTTGGGCACCCAAACAGAACAAGACAAGATACTCAGTTCCTTGTTACTGACATGACTGATTACCTACACATACGAGTAAATTTAATTCCCTTAAAAACCCAATTTAACTCCTAGTAACTTTTTCCTGTGTTAGGATTTATTCATATTATTGTTTGTTATATTAATTTATTTAACACTGTCAATACCTGAGATTATATAGCTTCAAGTGACAGAATTATTAGAGAATAATGAATTAGAAATGCTGTAGAAGGAAATGATCAAGGCTAAAGTTAAGGTAATACTGCTCTATCATTTTCTTGGAAGGACTTAGGAAAATCATGAAAAACCTACCAGGATAGCTGGTCTCTGGGCTGAGATATGAACTCCTAATGTCCTGAGTATGAATGACAGGTGCTAACTATTTGATCACAATAATAATTTCTTTAATATATTGGCCTCTGAATCATAAAAGTCATGAGTCATTGAAATACACCAAGATAGACTGAAATTCATTAATAAAACAGTATTCTTTAGTAAAATGCATAACTCCAGTCTCAAATTTGAACTGAGAGACGTAAGACAAAAATATAGTCACAGACTGCAAGTTCCATACTAAGAATGAAAACTGAATCACAAGAAATGAGAGAATAGTGACACACTAGGACCAATTACTATATATTCTGTTAACGCAAAAATCATAATTCTGAATAAAAATGGTCAAGGAAAAATACTCAAGTACAATTTAATTCAATTTCAGTTTCTCTTGTTTGTTGTCACTTTTTCAAAAGAGAAGCTGTTCAATGATCTGGAAAGTTGATACTTCCATAATATATTCTACATATTGAGCTTCTACAAGTATGACAAATGTTTTATATCAAAAACCAATATTCTGTTTTTATTGGTTTTTCATTGTGTGTGCAAGATATATTTCATGGCTGACTAACTTCCGCAACCAGGGAAACATTATTAGGGAGTAGCAGCTGCAGAGGGGGAAGACTGTTAACAGAACTCAAGTATGCCCATGGCGGTCTTCTAAGTTTTGATGCCTTGTGGACTTGTAGGTAAGTACCAACACTCCAGAGGAACATACTGCTTCCATCTTCAAGCCTGATTTTTCAAGTGTGAGGATGCTGATAGTTCACTGGTTAGGAGAAGGGCCAAGTTGGGGGGACTGGTCAATCAGCCAAGGGATAGGGAGGGGATATGGAGACTCTGCACCAATAGGAAAGAGCCCTATACAGTGAATTAGAAAGCGAGGTTCGGTCAAGAGAGAAAAACCAGACATTTTATGGGTCAGGAGAGGACACAGTACCCAATGGGTGGGGATCACAGTGGACAGAAAGACCCTAGTAAGGGCAGTTTCTTGAACAGTCTACAGGAGGACACTAAAAGAAAGGCCCATATAAGGAACACAAGCTAAGAAAGGCTGAATAGCAGTGCACACCATTTCCTTGGCGTGATCTTGCTTTCATTCCTTCTGGACACAAATAAGAGGTTTCCATGATTTGCTCATAGAGAAGCCAAATTCCATGTTTACATTGTTGGAATAGAGCTAGATTTCATGGACTTCCCTGATAATGCAGTCCATATAAATGGATTTTTTGTCCAGTACATATGTTCTCTGCAGATGGATGCAATAGCCTAGGTTTGTGCTGTGTTCTGCCACAGATGATGTATTGGGATGGTAGAGACAGATATGCTAATGGCTGCTTTTTGACCGTAGTCTGAACTGAACATCTGGTTTATCTAATTACAACACCCACATCTGCAGGGAATGTTGTATACATCCATTGTTTTTAGGGCCAGGTCATCCTTGATAGGCTTAAAGTACTTAGATATTTTCCTTGGTGGGAGACCAATTGTCTTGATATGGTAAGCCGTGTGAGGTAAGGTACATTACACAGTTGGAAGCCCGAGAAGAATTCATTATACCTAGTCACCGCGAAAGCTTCAGATCACGTCTTGATCTTGTGTTTGGTTCAGTCCTTCTCCTAAGTCAACATAAACATCCATCCTCATTTCAACTGTAAAATCAGAGGCAGCATATTCCTCTGAAATGTTTGCACCCACCAGCAAGTGCACACAGAGTGTCATAACCCAGAAGACAATCATAGTCACCTTCAGTCATAAGAGCCTCAAGTGTAATACACTACTCAACTACGTTCTACCGCTAGCTTCTGCTATAATATTTCACTAACTGTGTAACACACAGTAGACTCCGAATTATCTGTAAGCAGATTACCCAACTGTGGTACTTTAAATATGCCAGTAGAATGGATATGACCAAAATAATAATTTGCAGCCCCTACCTCAACTCCACACATTGAAATGTTTCAACACTAGATTTCCTACTGCCTCACTACATCACTTCAAACTCTCTTTATGTATGATTTTCATTAATGTGAGTTCATTGTGTATGAAACCTCTCCCTTGCTTCTAGCTCTCAATCCTTTCTGCAACCTGTTCTAAACAGAACAGCATTACAAAGCTACTCAATGTACACTACTCGGATCACTATGTATAAGTGACATTTCACTGAAATGTGTGGAATTTTATAGCACTTCTGTGCTACCAACTTCTTACAATTATTCTGTAACATGACAGAAAAATGCAAAGATAAAGCTGGTATTATAGGATACAGTTTGTCCAGAAACACATGGATGAGAGTTATGTGAACTAACAAATCCATGAGATGCAGTAAAGTTGATTACTACACGCACATGGGAAATATAATTTTATGGACACTAAAGTACATGAATCCTTTGGTTTTGATACGGGAACATTTCAGTGGCTGTATTAGCAGCGCTTTCAAAGAATACAAATACCGGTTAAAATTAAAAAAAGAAGCCACTATTTTCCAACCAAGTAAAATATACCATGTACAACTCTAAAGCATTTATACAATATTTTTCGGATTTTTCCACTTTTATAAGTTTTCTGTGCTGGTTCTTACCCTCTATTAACCTGGAGCTATGGAGTCAAATATTTTTGTAAATGTTACACTGAATGACCCCAATTTTATGATATTCTTCCACTTAAGATTATATTTCTATCATATGTTATAAAATAGAAGCCAATTACTTTGACACAAACTGTTCTGCCCGTCAGTAGTCTGTGATAATACCAGAGTTTCCATGTAATGGTACTCTGTCCTTAAACAATTAATTTACTGTATTCCAAGACCACAGATTTATGGATCTGTAAGGCATCCAACAGAATGTACTTGGCCAACAACCATCTTCTGCTTTCCTACTAGTTTAGTTTATGAGAGTCTTATCTTAGGAATGCACAAGACTGCGATCATTAACACCAAAGTCTAAGTTTCCTACATCTGGTGAGAAAGTGTATCACTAAGGGTATTTTCATCTGTTTTGGAAGACTTCATTTCAAGGGAACACTTATTTAAAAATTAAAGACATGAGAAATAAGGAACACAGACCTCATATAAACTTGACATGTGAAACTCAAAATCTCTGCTTCAAATTCATAAGATATGGTGTACATTTTAGCCTGCCTTATTAAAAGCCTTCGGAACATTTCCCACATGAAAGATGACAAACAAATCAATAAACTGATGTATAAAGTGAAGCTTTCGCGGCAAACGAAGTTTATGAAAGACTCTCGAACAACAAGGGCATCAGGTGGCTGAATGGTGAAAGAACCATTCCTTCCGCCATTTCGAGAGCCATCTCTGCTCTCATCCTCAGGGCAGCTGCAAAACGAAACTGGTCCTATGTAGCGCCCATCGGCGAGCACGCTACATAGGACCAGCTTTGTTTTGCAGCTGCCCTGAGGATGAGAGCAGAGATGGCTCTCGAAATGGCGGAAGGAATGGTTCTTTCACCATTCAGCCACCTGATGTGGCTTGTTGCCTGAGAGTCTTTCATCAAAGCAATAAACTATCCACAGCAGACATGTAATTATGAGAACAGAACATGTACAATAATACTTCTTAGAAAAGTGAAAGGATTTCTACATAGGAATATATTTCTGTTTCCAATTTGTACTCTTTTCTGAAAAACCTTTGCATTTATAAATGTTACTTAATTTTACTGACAAGAATTTGAAGCCTGTAACTGTATTCTATTCACTAAATATAAATACATTAAAAACTAAGAAAATTATCTCACAAACTTGTTCTGTGTATCACAGTGAGTAATTAAAGGGACAAATGTCATAATAACTGTGAATGGTTGTGTTCACTATCATTAAGAAAACTTAATGTGGTACCAGGAATATTAAACACTTTATGGGGTACAGCAGATTTAAAACAAAGTTGTAATATGAGCTATTACATTCTGTTTCTGCCGAAGCACAAAATAAAACAAATCTGTGGTCACATAAAAAAATTATTAATTTCTCATGAAATTGATCTGCACTGGTTGACTTAGAAACACTAAGTGCTGGAAACCAGATCAATATTGTATCTAGCAAGTGTTGTGAAACCTAAACAGAGCAAACATCATCTCTACCAATAAGAATTTTACTGCAATATTTTTATCACTATCCTCATAAGCTCCAAATTTAATGTTGTTTTGAAGACTCAGTTTAGTGCATCATTTTAACTTCTCAAAATTTATGTGATTAATTTTTAAATTTCAAATAACTGACTAATACTTCTATTAATATATTTATTTACAATTCTGACCATGTACACCCACCTTAGGATCATATCTCTTGTACTGGTCCAGTCCCAGACCTGAAAAAATGAAGATAAGTATCATTAACACTCTTCAGTAATTCAAGTCAGCATAAAAGTAATTGTAAGATTTGAGGTTTTCACAGCGGTGAGTATGAACATTCCTGTCTTCTGGGTTGTTGCCTCCGTCATCAGGGCGATTCAACTGCCCTGATGACGGAGGCAGTATGACCTCTGAAACGTTGGTAAACATCGACCAGACTACACAGTACAACAAACCAGAGGACAGAAATCTTCATAAAAATAATTCTTTCAAATCATACCTGGCATTAATCAGAACTTCCTCTAAAAAATGTGACATATTATATTGAAGGGAAGAGGCCACTGGGGAGATCTAGACATAGATGGGAAGATTATATCAAATGGGATCTTTGGGAGATAGGAGTTGAAGGTGACTGGATTTTGTTGGCCCAGGACAGGGATCATTGGAGGGCGGTGGTTAATTCAGTGATGAACCTTCATGTTCCTTAAGCCAGCTAGCTAGTTAGTTAATGATATAAAAAGAAAAATAATGCATCTGTACTCTTGATAACCCATTTGGGTTCTTATGTAGATGATGCAGTTTAGTGTTTCAAAACCTCATTATCCTGCATTATCAGATTGCTTTATGTGAATATAACATTCTTCATCGGGAAAACAATAATTTCATGCAAAGTAAAATGGTCCATCACTTTTTAAAGGCTTACTTTAACAATAAAAATAAAGTAATTTAAATATAAAAGGTAAATACAATAAGCCAGACCATGTAAGTCTCTTTGTGATCCCTAAAAGCAATGAAAAATTAGAATTATATTTAAATGTACCATATTAAACATATAAACAATGTCTGTTCTATTACCATCAGGTTGTTTTATCCCAGGTGTCATAGACCTCAAGAAATCATCAGGAGTCATAAATACTTCATGACTTTCTCCACAAGGATGTGCCACTTGCAAAGTAGCAAAATACCGGAACACTTTATCAGGAGTGGAGTACTGACGTATACGGTTTTCATACTCCATGATCTGTTTGAACAAGCAGGGAGCAGAAGCAAGGCTAGATCATTAATGCAGGAAGTACATGTTAAAATGTGGCCATTACTGGTAAGTGGTAACTGCAGAAGCTGATGCAGGATCATGAACAATTCATATGTACACTTACGGTACAAATTCTTTGTACATTAACATTAAAGTAAAATACTGACATGTGATTAGCAAATTCCAACTCACTGAAGAGGAAGCAAAGATGCCTTCAGTAAAACTGAAATCCAACATATTTTGGACCATACCTGCTGATACCAACACATTCTAAACCAGGGGTTCTCAACCTGTGGCCCATATACATTTTTGTGAATCACATCTCAATTCAATCTGATATTGAAAGATTTAGCAAACAGAAGCAGTGGCAAGTATCTCAAAAGGAATTACCGAACAATTTGTGAACCTGCAAGTCAATAGCATTTGTAATAATCTACCACGAAGTTTCAACAGATTGTCCTCATTTATAACCCTGTGGCCCGCGAGTCGAAAAGAAAAGCAGAATGTGGCCTCAAATCTGGAAAAGGTTGAAAACCCCTATTCTGAACAATCCAAACTGCCAAGATAGGACAGTACAACACTTTTTTTTACAGAAAACTGAAACAGCAAACTGCAGCTTGTTAACTTGCTGGTATAAACAAAGAATATATTTCACAGTTTAACCTCTGTCATATACAAATACAGGCTTTAACTCCAGGATCGATGGTATAGCAGTATGCTACTGTAAGACACAGCCAGCTAGATGCAGTCAATAGAGGTTAATAAAACCAAAGACACTACAGAAAATTGGAAGTCAAATTCTGCAACAAGTAATGAATTAAAATCAGAAATATTTACATGAAATGTCTGTCACCATATACTCACTTAAATTTTACAAATGTTTCAATGTAAAATGCATTTCAAGAACCATAACAAGCTAACCAATAAAAATACAACTCACTGATGGGGTATGTTAAAACAGTAGATTACAATCACGACATGAACAGTCAGTTATTTTAAATTTATTGCTATAAGAAAACTGAAGAGAAAATATGCTATCCAAAAGCTACATAGAATTTTCACAGCAAATGCAAGCTGAGAGAAATGAACCATTACTCTCCTGCACTAATGCGACACAGAACAAGCAGAATATTGTTAGTGGAGACAGGAGGTGGAACAGGCACCAACTTTGTTAGATGGATGTTCAGATAAATTCAACTCGATCAGCTTTATGTGATCATAGCATCAATCCAATTCCCTAATCCCTACTTTACTACTACACCTTATTAATTACAAATGATAGTCACTATCAAATGCAGTCACTCCTGCTGCTGTTCAAGATGTGTATTAAGCTTAAAGCACCACTCAGGAATTTAAGAGAAATGCAATGAAGTAAGTTTCTTTCCTGTAGAATAATTCAGAAAACAAAGTCAAACATTAACACAGTCTGGGTTCTAGCCTTGAGAGAAAACTACAAATTTGTTAATCAAATGTACACTAGCATCGTGCCACGGTGGTCTAGCGGTTAGAACGCTGGCCTTGTAATCCTGGGGTCTCGGGTTCGATTCCCGGCGGTGCCCGAATTTATAACTTGTGTTGGGCAAGGCCGTGGTCTAGGCAACACGGAGTTTTCCTCTGTGGCATCCCAACAATTACTCCATTCACACACAGAAGAAGGCAATGGCAAACCACTTCTGGATCATCTGCCAAGAACGTATATGAACAGGTCCCAATCCGAGAAAAGGATGGAAGGATCATGTTCATATGGACCTGTCGGCAGACAGAACACTACAAAAAAAAAACACTAGCATCACTCACTGGTCAACAAATTCATCTTTTCATCCCACTGAATAATACAGGTTGTTCCACTTAAAACACAACCCTAACTGCAGCAGTATATCCCATTTCTGCAGCTGACACACTGCTTGAAATTGGTTCGACTGGAATTTCAGTGGTTCTGTCACTTTATGGACACTTGTCACTGACAAATATTTCCTGTGCCCTACAGTGACTAATTGGTGTGTTGTTGTTTTAGTCGATTCTTCCTTGTCAAGATATGCAATGCTAAATGCTTCATAAACAGCATCAATGGCACGATGTAATGTTTGAGAATGAATGTACCTGTACCTCCACAGCTTCTGAGTAAATGGTGTTAGTAGCAGTTTTTAAACCAGGGTGACCTTGACTCAAATGTCAAAGAGGAGACTGGGAGAGTCTATTACAAGGGTATGGACTTGTTACTGATTTAATTTTTATACACGAGCACATGATTATTGTTAGGAACAACAAATAGTTTCAACTATGTACATAAACCTTCTGACAAATCTGTAACAAAAAGTGGTTACATGAAACTACAAAAGAAGTGGCATATGTATGTAGCATTTTAACCACTGAATACAAGTTTATGACATGTTACACACAGTGTTTCAAAACTTCACAAAATAAATCAGACACAGTCAAAGAGGAATAACTTCAGTTTTGAGTTCCATTTCACTTCTGTAATGAATGGTGATATTAGTAGATAACATTATGGCACATGCAAGATTAACCTTTCAGATATGGGAATTTAAATTTCCTTGTGCAGCATTATGGCCAGATTAAATTGGCATTTAAGTATTTTAGCAGGAAATCATACAATGAACTGAAGTTTATTCACTGAAATTTTTGACTCAGAATTTAGAATTAAAAAGTAGACTATTGTGAATAAATCAATTTTCTACTATTTATGTAATTTTTCCATTTCCATCCTACACTTTTTGTTTATTACAAGGTGGATGGGAAGTAAGTAGGCATTAAATAATCGCTATACATTGGAAATATAGAGGTTATAACAATTTATCAATGCCTACTTACTTCCCACCCACCCTGTATAGAAAATATTGAAAAATTGATGAGACAGTCGCAGAAACTATATATAAACATGACAACAAAATGTAAAATATTCTGCTGTATGATTTTTTAAAAACTTGGATATACAAAAAAAATGATTCAACCTTAATTGTCCACATTGTTCTAGGTTAAAAGTAATAATAAATAGGCTAGAATTTATTTTATAGCTCTCTTAACACTATGAAGCATTTAAATGGTGACCTAATAAAGCTGTGAGGTCGCAGGAGAAAATTTAAATTTCCTCTCATAATGGTTAAGCTGAAACTCAACAACTTCGGAAATATGCCTTTCTGGTGCTTATCACTGTTGAGTCAAGTCATTCCCCATGTCAATCACTTCAATCAATATTAATGATAAAGAAAGGAGCAAGGACCCTCCATCTGCAAAACAAAGGCTGTAGATTTCTGATGGAGCTTACCATCTGGCTGTTGCATGCCCGGAGTGATAGCTCGTAAAAAGTCATCTGGAGTCATGTAGACTAATGCTGTATTCTCAGACATAATCTTAACTGTTGCAAAATACCGGAAAATTTTATCAGGAGTTGAATAGGAACGTATGCGATTCTCGTACTCTATAATCTGTAAAAATTCATGATCGTAAAAGCAAGCTACACAGATAATGTACTGAAACACAAATCAAGAAGCTTGCTAAGACAGCACTAATTTTTCACATAAAAACAACGGTATATTATTAAAGCCTGGTGCAAACTATAGACTGGCAGTGACTTCATGTGTATTTCACATGCTGCTGCTAGACTCATTGAAAGAGAAACAACTATTATGACTACAACAAAAGGAATGTATACAAAACTGATGACGGATGCTTACACATTGTAATATCAGGGCATAAACACTCAGCTGTAATACTCTACCTTTTTGTTGAGCATCTAATTTCTAATTAAACAAGAGAAATTTCAAAACTCTCATCTAATAAAATGATATAAAAAAGCATTGTGTAAAAACAGTGTTCTATGAAAATACCACTGATAAAAATTTAAACCTGCTTAACACTTACAGAACACAAATTAAGGTTTTGCTCTATAAAGAGTGAGTCAAAAATATGTTTACAAACTTTGTGTTTGTGTTCCTGGATCAAAAATAAGAAAAAATGTTCCTATGAACATGTGGTCTCAAATGCTTCTTTTTCAAAATAATAGCCAAAAGAAGTTTCAATGTATGCCTTTAATGCCAAGTATAAGGACAGGGATGTTTCTTTATAACAGATGCTCAAAGGTTGTTCCTCCATTCTCCACACATGCACGAGCACGACGTACACAAGACTGACGGATTTGTTCGTACACACCAGGGTTTCCTCGAATCATTTGGCATCCATTCTGCACATGTTCCCATAGGTCATTATTGTTTATAGATGTTGCATAAACGATGGACTTCAAGTGACTCCTCAGATAAAAGTCCAATGGAGTCAGGTCCGGTGACCTCGGTGGCCATTCTAGTGGGTCACCGTGTCCAATCCATCGCCGAGGGTACTGTTCATCGAGATGATCTCTGACACAACAGGAGAAGTGTGTTGGGGGCTCCGTTGTGCATAAACCACATTTGTCTTCTTGTATTCAGTGGTACATCTTCAAGGAGACGTAGCAAGTGTCTTCTTAAGAATCGCCGATATGAAGGTACTCTTGGATGTGATAGAAGCATGTCACCAACATTTCCTGCCCAAATGTTAATTGAAAATCTTTTGTGAAAGCTGGATTCACTTTGACATAAAGTCTTTCACTGAAACTTATTTTTGGCTATTATTTGAAATATGAAACATTTGCGATCCCATGTTTATAGGAACATTTTTTCTTATTTTTGATCCTGGAGCACGCACACAAAGTTTGTAAACATACTTTTGACTCACCCTGTATGTCTAGAAGGAATATTTCAGATCAGTGTATGCATTTTACCTTAGAAGCTTACCAAATCAATGAAAACGTAACATTAATTGGAATGCATCAAACATAAATGGCACAAATTACAAAAATAGATGGACTTTATAGCACTGATACAGCTGAACTCTTACCTTCCTATCCCGGAAGCCAACCTTTTCCTTTTTCTTTTTCTTCTTCCCATCATCCCCACTGTCCCCCTCATTGTCTTCAATGCCTCCTGCTGTTACTTCATTTTGTCCTTTCTGTTGCATATCTTTACCATCATCAGCCAACTGTGAAGCAGCATCGACTTGAGGAAATAATGACTTACGCAGTCTGTAACCAATTGCAAGTAATACAGTAAAATGCTGATTTACAGATTATATTTTTTTTTTTGTAGTGGTCTGTCTGACGACAGGTCCATATTATGAACAGGATCCTTCCAACCTCTTCAGGTTGTCAGGGACCTGCTCATACATATATACATTCTTGACAGAGATGATCCAGAAGTGGTTTGCCATTGCCTTCTTCTGTGTGTGAGTGGAGTAATTGTTGGGATGCCACGGAGAAACCGGGGAAGCCCCCGGAGGAAAACTCCGTGATGCCTAGACCACGGCCTTGCCCAACACAAGTTATAAATTTGAGCACCACCGGGAATTGAACCCGGGACCCCAGGCTTACAAGGCTAGTGTTCTGACCGCTAGACCACCGTGGCGTACAAGACTAATATCAAGTAATACTGTTTCTCAGCTGCAATTAGCAATACTGATATATTTAAATTCATTTACCATGGTTTCTTTATCTCTAATAGTCTGAATGACACAACTTTTGTCTCTCACATGTGTTATTTTCATACTTTTTGGAAATGTGATTTAGAAGGAAGAAAATTCAAAAAAAAATTAATAACATTTCATATTGTTTATCAAATTTATGTTAAGTTTATAATTTACATTTCAGATCACTATTTTTATTTTCAGCTCAACACTGTACTTGTCTTTATCCTCTTTACTGGTTGTCTCTGAAACCAGAATATCAGTCCAAAAATGCTGATCATGATTAATATGAGGTGCGACAAGTTCCTTGAATATGCACACATGTCACAAACAATTACCGAGTGAATAATAACTAAGCAGTGACATGTTACATTTCTGTGGTTGCATGTTACGAGTTAGTAAACAAATAAACAGCAGTGGCAAAGCAGTGGCACAGTTACACAAGCCTGCTTTTTCATCCTGACAGAAAAATGAGTGACTAGTTGTTGGAGCGACATACTAACATTAAATTTTGTGCAAACTTAGGCATGGTGCTTATTCTATTAAAAAGTTATCCCTGAATGGCACAAAAGTTTAAAGAGGTCAGGAAGATTTGAAAAACAACAAAACAACCGGACATCCAAAAATGAATGGACAGATAAAAATGTGGAGAAAGTGTGGAATTTCGTTCATTTTGACAGATGAATAAATGTTATTTTGGAAATATTGGCAAGGTTACATGTGACTGTACATCGGAAAAGGCCTGGATTTTAGCCTGATGTTTGTATCCCGCATCATGACAATGCCCCTACTCATGATGTGCTTGTTGCCTGGGAGTTTTTATCAAAAAAATCAATACTAAAATTGGACCATCCACCATATTCACCAATTTGGCCCTGTGTGACTTGTGGCTACTCCCAAAATTTCATTGGGTCATCTCTCTCTCCTTCATGACATTTATGCATGACATGACAAATGTGACTCGATCATTTTCATGCTATTTATTCCAAACACATACAAGAGGTCATAAAAAAATATCTTGCATGCGTATGTGTGGAATTGGCAGATTTTGTTGTTTCTAGTTAACATTAAATGTTAAAGGCTCTACCACTACAGCTGTAATTATGAAAACAGCCAGTGACATGTGACCTTCTAACACAATCTGTAAAGCAATGACAGACTGAAACAAACTAGATTTGAATTGGATATATGCTGTTTTCATGCAAATTCATGGATCTACACATAACAATATGAGCCAGGATAGCTCAATCAGTATAAGGACTAGCTACGGGATGGGTGATCGGGGTTTGATCCCTGACGGGGGCAGAGGATTTTTCCTCTAGCCTCTGCGTCCAGACCGGCTCTGAGGCTCACCCAGCCTACTGTCCAATGGGTACTGGGGTCCTTTCCTAGGGGTAAAGCAAGGCCGGGGCGTGATGCTGACCACTCACCCCCATCTGGTGCCGAGGTCAAGAAAGAGTAGGAGCTATACCCCCCCTCCTTCCCCAAGTGCCTGCATAGGCATGTAGCGAGACGTTTTTACTTACTTTACACGTAACAATGTAATCATACACCCATGGCCCACCTAGCTGATTTTGATTTAGTTTGAAATATTCAATTGATTAACTAGTTGTTTTTCATGTTCAACCACAGAGGTAACTGAAAACATCATTTGCAGATACAAGCATCTGCAGGCACCCTAATTTTACCTCATTTAACCCATACTAGAAATCAATCCAACAACCTTGATCAATCCCTATGATAAACTGTAACCAACAAATCCTCCACCTTGATGTAAAGGAGTGAGCGGTAACCATCAACACCATAACAAATGTGAGACAATATGCTGACCAATTACATCCTTACACTGAGGCAGATGATCAAGAGTTCTTAAAACTAATTAATTGAGTTATGAATGTACAGATTTGAAAAATGTGTGCACGTAGACTTATTTCAGATTACTCTCTTAATACCCTTGAAAGAACCCCATTAGAACACTGTCTAACAAAACAAATTACACTGTAGGCCATATATTACAGCACACCACTGTATCTAAAAATTATTTTTATATATATTTAATTTTAAGTATGTATAAATTAGTTTTACTCACCCTTTCCAATCAATTGCTGACCCTATAAATAAGCAGAAAACAAAAGTGTGCCACAATCTTGAAAAAAGAGGCTGTGGCTTTGGTTTATGACCAAAATCCTTATAGTGCCTTGTTTGCTGCTTGTTGCAGATACCACATTGTTCTTTGCACAATTCATTATACAAATAAGATGGTAATTGGGGTACTGTTTGCCATGGTGTTAATGTCATCCTCCTAATTTGGATTATTTGATATAAAACTCCTCTTCTATACATTTCAGTGCTTAATTCACCTGAAAATAATATAACATACTATGTATATAACAGTATACAAATGTACTAAAAACACAAACAATTTTAAGAACAACTGAAATTGGTTACACTGTATGAAAGAAATGTACAAACACTTTCATCATGATTTAACTGAAGGATGAAATATGACATTAACAAGTGTGGAAAGAAATATTCTACTGGAACACAAACACTTCTAAAATGTGCTCTGTCATATAACAGAGCTCAATAACCCTGCTATTTATTGTTGAGAGCCATCATGAGCAGGGAATATCTTCACAACACAGTGACCAGGTGCTTTACATACAAATTGTATCAGGGATAATAAACTTAAATAAAACCCAAATTCACTGACAAGTTAGACATACTAAACAGGTTACAGTATGTTAGGTATATGTGATCACTGAACTGTAAACTTTTTTCATCAGCAGTGACACATGTTTTATGTTTTCCTTACATACTTCTGGTTAGAACTTGCTTTAAGCCATGGTAGAAACAGGTAGCACTTAATGAAATTTACCCTATACCATTGCCAGATATGAAATAAAGATTCTCAAAATTCCTTTGAAAATTCATTCAAACCAAGATACTAATGAATGTATACAAGATTTGTAACTTTGTTCCCAACAGAAACAGAACTGTATTTTAATACAAGGCAGTCTAACAAAGCGTGGAGTTAGAAGTCATACAAAGCAAACTTTCCTACTTATACACCACTGTTACTATAAAATTCTAAAGACCAAAAGCGTTCGTGTGACACAATAGTAGATAGATATAAATGGTTAATTCTCTGAAGAAAGTGTTTCACCTACTAAAAAGAGACAACTAAGTAACACACAAAATATTGCTCTCTGTAAATATAAGTTGTGACAGGCATCTTATGCTGCAAAGGGTAAACTTAAAAACCACTGTCAAATTGATTCCATGCTGTAGGCTGCATAACAAAATGGCAAGCATCCAGTGCAAGTCTTAACTTCCTTGTGATTAATACTTCAATTAAATAAAATACTTCTATCAGGTAGATTTCACATAAAGAGCTAATGGAATGTTTCATTAATTGCATGCAGCTTCCAAACACTACAGTAAACTAAATTCCAGCACACTAAAAGATTTTCAACTTCTAGTTCAAGTATAATCTTTGATATACATGTCTTAAGGCACTATTCAGGACCTACTCATATTGCACACAATAATCACCCTGAAAAGTTATGTTGCTTGCACATGTAGTGGATCAGGGTTGTGATGGAATAAAGTAATGTCAACAGTGACAACCCTGTCATACTCATGCATCCAGAAGGACCATCATCAGACCTCCACTGGCCACAGAAGGATGGCATTTGTTGTGTTAAAATGGAAGGCATATTAAAAGTAATACAACCACCAACAACAGGGACAGGATGTTAGTACATCATTCATAAAATGATATAGAAGTTGTGTACATTTTTCAGGAGCAATTTGATCAAGTAAATCTGTCTACACTTCAAGAAGTTACAACAAAGTTCCATATACCATATGGTAGCTTCTTACATAAACTACATTTAAAGCCAGTTTCATACAGACATCTCCATTAGTTTTTGAGATATGATCTTTTGTATTACTTTGTATTATCCATACCTTTTGCAGATGATACTAATATTATTATTATTTCACATCCAGAAATTTACTGTTTCCAAAGTTGCATGAATGATGTATTTGCTAGTTTGAACGAATGACATTTTGACAAAACAAATTTCATGAAATTTTGTACTACCAACAAAAATTGTGTTAAGCTAGGTATAAAGTATGAGGATAAAGAAGTAGAAACAACTGAATTTCTTGGCCTACAAATTGACTGAAACTTAAACTGTAAAATATATATGGAATACATTATCCCTAAACTAAGGTCAGCATGCTTTGCTATGAGGACTGTCACATTACTCATAAGAACAGAAACTTTAGAATTAGTCTACTTTGCTTACTTCCATTCGATCATGTCATATGGAATTATTTTCTGGGGAAATTCAGCAGACAGTGAGAAAAGTATTTTACATTCAAAAGAAAATCATTACAATAATGGCAGGCACTAAAAGCAGAGCCTCTATATCCTTATCTTGGACTAATGAGGGTTCTATGAAATGTAAATAAATTATCTTCTATTCTTAACGCTTCTGGTATTGATATGAAAATGGCCAGCGTTAAACTACAGCATTCTTTGCTTTCACACCCAGTAAGTTATCAGACAAAATAACTTGCCCTTTTACGAATGCCAAAACGAACCTGCGGTTATACCAAGTTCGATTAAAATAAAAAAGAATCAACTGACACAATTTCGGCAAAATTTGATTTGGAATAGAATAATCCATAAATCATTTTATATAATTTCGATATGTTTCAAAACACCCTTTTTAACCACTAAACATTCCGATTATGAAATTCGATACTATAAACATCGAGTGCTTAGATCATGCTGTATTGGAAAGAAAACTTGTTAAATGATTTCTACCGTTGAACCCTTTATCCATACCTCGGAATTACGCTTGTATTCATTGGGAGCAATTTATAAATTATGTTCAACGTAGAATAACAATGAACATTCTGTAAATGACTGTAAGTAGTAGCAACACATAAAATGTCATGCTGTATTATACTCACCTCTTATAAATTAGATTCCTACAAACCTTTCAAAACACTAATTCTACAAAAACAATTTGCACCCTATACGCCTAACTGAATGTAATCGTCACACAACACCGACTTCGTCAGACATAACCCAAGTACTGAGATAATACCAGCATTAGTATTGCCTGGGTTCGAGGGAAAGAACAGTTTAGGTATGAAAACTGTGAAATTGAAGTATAAATAAACGAGTAAAAGAAAATTAGGGGACAATTTCTATTCATTAATACACATCAAATTTTATCGCTTGATCCCTGTCTTTGGTCTGTATGCCTGTGTGATGGTAAAAACAAAAATTAAATGGAAATGATCCCTTCTATGTTGTCATTTCCTTCAATGTGAACGTTTTATAATGTTAGTTTTTGATCTTTGGTAAGTTAGTGTCTCTATACTCTTTCCTCAGTGATGGTAATATTTTCTTTTCATCTGTGCTTGTGGACAAATGATTGAAAAGGGCGGGTAAATGTATCAGAGACAAATTACGTAAGTAAATAAATTTGGCATTTATTAATGTACATGTTTATTAGTTTGCAAGATGATTATTGGATTTTCTGTGTTATGACAATTTTTCTATTTTAAAGTTATTCAGTTTATTAACTTTGGGTGCTGTAGGTTAAGTCTTTGTTTTGAGGTTATGTATAAACCTTTTTGTTTGATGTCACGCACAGGTCATTTTTCTCGAGTGCTCCTGAGAAGTCAGAGGTGCCTAGTAACAATGATTCGTCTAGTAACGATGATTGGTATGTTCTATAATAAAATATGCTGTCAGTAGCGTCTCTCCCTGCAGTGAATTTAACATTGAAGTAATGGCTAAATCATTGTGTAATGCAAGGAAGTTTTGGTATTTCTTTAGACCTCTGAACAGTTGCACGCTCCAGTATTGCGTACCTTTAAATCGGCACGAGGGCGTGATTCTGAAACATTTGTTTAAGTCAGATATTTGCTTGTGGCAACATTTAAGAATGGTGACAACAATTTTATCACTCTGCCCACCTAGCAAAGAAGATGGATCAGAGGCAGACAGAAATGTATCATCATTTAAAGTAACTTCCTCATTCAAGAAGAAGAAGAAGAGGCGCAGAATTCTGAGTGATAGTGAAGAAGAATTAGATGCTTCATCCAGGTTTGTGTACTATTTGAAGTTATACATAATGAGTAAGTGTAAAGATGGAGATTATGCCATTGGTCTGTCAAAGCTAAAGTATCTTAATTTTACCAGTTTAATTCATTTTAATTGTACAGAGTTTCACATGTTAATGTTATAACCATCATATGCAACTTGGTTAACATTTTATTACCATTAATATGTAGTTTATGTAATATGCCACCTGTTATGTTTTGATACTAGCCATGCCATCATAAGGGGAACATCTTTTATTAAATCTGTTAAAGGTTTACAGAGTTCTTTTTCTGTTTCCTATGATTGTAGATGTATTTCTGACTAAATGTATTAAATCCTAAGTATCACCACTGCACTTCTTCATATTTGGGAGGCCCTGGTTTCAAATTTTGGTATGGTGACCAACTTTGTTGACATAGCTTTCATGGTTGTCATCAGTTTCCCCAAGTAAATTCAGGGTTAGTACCTAAAATTAGGCCAAATTGCTTCCTTTTGTATTCTTTCCAGTAATTCAGTAATCATCATACCATTCGGTGCTATGTAGTCTGACCTGCTGATGTCATTTTTAAATGAACAAAATTATCCTGAATTAAAATTAAAATTCTGAATTCTGATTGTCTAATCTTATATTTCTACTTATAGCTAGTGGGAGAGGGAGAGAAAGTAGAGAGAGAAAGGTTGAGTTTGGTTGGATGGACCAACCTTTCTCTCTCTACTTTCTCTCCCTCTCCCACTAGCTATAAGTAGAAATATAAGATTAGACAATCAGAATTCAGAATTTTAATTTTAATTCAGGATAATTTTGTTCATTTAAAAATGACATCAGCAGGTCAGACTACATAGCACCGAATGGTATGATGATTACTGAATGACAGAGGCAGTATGACCTCTGAAACATTGGTTAACATCGACCAGACTACACAGCGCAACAACCCAGAAGATGGAAATCTTCAAAATGTAACTTAATAATAAGTAGACTACAGTTGTTTGAAATAGTACATCTCTACTAATGAGAAGAATGGAATTGCTTGTTATGAGATAACATTTCACCAAACTGAGGTTTAAATTCAGTACTCCCTATCATCAAAATTAATTGTAAATTTTCATCTGTTAATGCTGACCTGTATTGAGATTTTACATATTTCATCTTTGAAAATGTCTTTTCACACAGGTAGATATGCAGTAATCTATACATGTTACCAAGGACTCTAAAAGTTTCAGTATGAAGTTTATAATGATTTAATATCAAACTTTAATATACTGTGAGTAACTGAATGTTATCACCCTTAATATAGCATAATCATACAAATACTTTAGGATGGAAATTATATTCAACATAAAAGTAAAACATTAATTAGCACAAAATAAATACAGATCATATCATGTACTGTCATCCTTGGTGGACTAGTGGTTAGTGTGCTTGCCACTGGACCCAAGGTTTGCGTGTTCAAACAGAGCTGAGGTTGATGGATTTTTAAGGGTGATGAAAATCTGTAGCACAACTTCCTTCGGAGGGGTAGTAAAGCCGGCGGTCCCATGTCGTAGATTTATGGCAAATTAAAGAACCTTACGAGCATGAATGAGATGTTTTGTAAACAAAATTCAGCGACCATTTCTTACTCAAGTCTTTCCTGATTCACTACTCGATGGCTCTAGCAGACAAATCAGGGTTGAGTAGAAATTGTGCAGAGGCAGTGGGCTTGTCACTCACTACTCATAAATGCACACTTCAAGGAAGACAAAGAACCCTCCCACATGGGAGGACGCCAAGGCTTGGCTTCGGGCTGTTGCACCATAGAGTCAGTCATGTCATGTACTATAGTACAGCTGAAGAAATAGATGACCATATCAATGTATGAAGAAGCAGATCATTAATAAGCTACCGGAAAGAATTTCACTTTATAAGTGCCAAGCCACTACGTGAAACTATCCCTTAAGATTGTAAGAAAAAATAAAATTAATAACATTTGTTATTTTGAAGCTAGTGACTTAGAAAAGTCTTTCATGATTTAAGGATATCACTTTTAATATAATTGTCATAAGAACTGACTACTGTGGATGCTGGCCACCCTTCCATCACTTTTCAGCACCTCGTGTAGCCACTTGTGGCAATGTCATCACTGAATGGTTAACATACACCTTCTAGTAACCCCAGTAGGAGGGCGCGGCGGTGTGCGTGGAAGGGTCAGGGCGCGTGCCCGCCTGGAGCCGCCGCCGGTGCAGATCTTGGTGGTAGTAGCAAATCCTGGTTCCAGGCATTCTACAGCTAACAAGTTCCTTCTTGAAGAATGTAATATGTCCTTTGTTTTTATATGAACACAGACTCCTGTAACAAGTGGCAGTATTGAAGTGGCGATATGATAATGGAGTGAGAAGTCAGTGGTGAACAGTGTTGACTCTGAGTGAGCAGTGTGTGCAGAGCACTTCACAGTTCATAACTAGGCTTCTGCTTGATAATCAACTTATGACTGAACTTAAGTCCCAGCAACCCAGTTTTCTTGTACTTGCAAGTTTTCCAGAGGCTAGCAGATGTCTGCAGTCCTTTCCACAAGTCTGTAGAATGTTTGTGTTCAGAACTCTGGCCAAAGTACTTGAAAATGGTATGATCTGGTTGCTCCATGTGTGCTGTAGGCCATTCATCACATCTCATGATGGAGGGGCTTGTATTTACAGTGCATGACAATGCTCCCTCATCTGGTTATCACTGTCTGTGGGCCAACTCTGAATGGCTGGAGCTTATATGACTTTCTTCTTATCTGGAGTGGATGGCACAGCCAGACTTTGTCCCCTTCTGGAACCTTGCAGATTTGGCCAGGTGATCATAGTGGGTCTTCATCCTGTCACTTGACACTTCTAGATGCTTGTCTCATTGTCAGCCTATCTGGTGTTCTGGCTGCTGCCTCTGGCTTTAGGGCCTGGATGAGGGCCTCATTAAGTGACCTGTCTCTGCCCATGTGGAATAGCTGCATCACTTGTCAGTCTCACACTCCATTGATGAATGCTTGGGCAGCCTCCTTCGGAAAACACAGGTTGTCCGACAAGGGCCCGGTGCACCAACTACTCGACAGCTGCTGCAACTCCTGTCATGACTCGTCAGTCATCTCAATCTTGGCTTTGAGTTGCACCCTGTAGATCACTGCCATATGATGGTTTCTATGATAGCCTTTCAGAGCCCTAATGATGTCCTTATGTGTTGCTTCGATGAGACACTACAAATTTGGCAGAGTGTCCCTGCAAGTCAGAGAGCAGATGCTTGGCCTTCTTGCAGTACATTTACTTGTAATTGATTGCAGCCTTGAACTGGTGGTGGATTAATGCCCAGGATGTGGATCCATTGAACTTTGGTGTTTTCGCCCAGTTTGTGCTGGTCCCTGTAATCATACCACCTTCACGTTTCATTTGGTCCTCCACTGTCACCAGGTGGGACTCATGCCATGTGACTTCTGTGTTGTGTCAGGTTGTTTATTTAAACTCTAAAATTATACTGTTAAAAAGAAATGCTTGTTAATGCCTAATATAATGTTTATAAAATGCCAAGTGTCCCCTGTGTTTTACTGTCATTTTGATTCATAATGTTGTCATTACAGTACTGTAGAATTTTATGTTATATTGTTTTCATTAACCCTTTAAAAAGCCACCACCTATTTTAATAGCTAACAGGTCAGCATTTTGGCTTCTGGGTTGTAGCACAGTGTAGTCTGGTAGAAGTTTACCAGTGTTTCAGAAGTTGCTGCTGCCTCCATCATCAGGGTGATGACAACAAGCTAGTTCGACAAAGTGCCAACACCCAAAAGTAGGATTCACATCAGTACTTAATCATCATGAAAGCCTGAAATTGATGAACATCACAAGTAGTTTTCAGGTTCATATTTGTTACATATTGTATACTGGCATTTTTGCCATCTTTGACAGTTCATCGCTGCCAGAGAAGAAAAAGACGTCTTCCTCTCCTGTTCCTGAGAGGAATAGTATTAGAACCCATGGTGATGCTTCAGAAGGAATTCCATCCAGAAAAACTGGTGAGTCAGGTTGAAGATTTATAGTTACCGTTATGTTAGTCTTCTGCCAGAAGAATTTGATATAGCTTGGTAATGATTCTCTAAATGTTTATAACTTTGGTTGGTTCATTATAAGGATAATGTGTTGGACATTATCCTACATAGAATTCCTGCAAGCCAAATGAGTGCTTGAGAATGCTTTGTATGCAGAAATTTATTAATGGTTTTGTATATGCTGTGTAATATGGAAACACCATCTGTATAGTGTCTGTAAAACTAAAAAGACCCTCTGATTTCATAAATATAATTTAAAAAAATCTTTGTTCACAGAAGTGTCTACTCACAAATATTATTATACTTAAGTGCATCTCATAATAGATTAATCACATGAACAATTTGTAATTGTTTGGACACTATTTGTTTTATTCTTAATGAAGAACTATTGACCATTTTAGATGTTATAATATATGTGTAAATTTGCTCTGAAAGATGATTTCAGGTCAGCCCCACAAGCATGGCATGATTCCTATGTGACAGACATTAACCAACAAAAGTCCCAATGTCAGCACATGGGTCCTGACATTGGGACATATGTTACATGAGATTTTCATAAGAAATTCGTTACTTTTGTTGGTTTATTTGCTGACACTATCTCAGCTTTATAAATAATGTAGCTTCAAATGAGAGATTATTGTAAAAGATGAATCTGGAGGGTGTGAAAGGATGTGGTTGTGGCCTCTAGTAAGATGATTCCCCTGGCATTTGTCTAAAAGTACCATGGAAAACCATAGGAAACTTTAGTCAGGATAACAGTCTACCACACTGGGAATTGGACCTCTCCCAAGTATGATGCAGTAGTGGTAGTTTGTAGTACAGCTTTCAGAATGCTGATTTATGTTGTTTATCTGTGCAGAAATTCTTTCACAAGTATGTGTGTGATGGAGGAAGTATGACCTCTGAAACGTTGGTTAACATCTACCAGACTACACAGCGCAACAACCCAGAAGACAGAAATCTGTAGTTTTGATGTTTGAGAGGTTCATTATTTTATTTATGTATAGTTTATTTAACAACACTTTCAGTATTTCAGACTATATAGTGTAAAATGAGAATCTGATAGTGAATAATGAATTGGAAAGGATATGGAAGGAAGCAGTCACGACCTAATTTAAGGTTGTAATATGCTGTATTACACTGATAGATGTACAGATAATGATTGTCATCTGATTTCAGAATTTGTATTATTCTTTCAGCCAAACTGAAAGAAGAGATTAAAATTAATATTATAATACTGTAGCATAAACATGCTATTGTTACAGCTTCTGCACCATTTAGAGGAGTGAAACAGCTGTTGCCAGGCATTACAAGGGAAGTTGAGGCAGCTAAAAGATCGAAAACTAAAAAAACCAAAACAACCATAAATGGCAATAAAGAAACAGAATATGGAGCTGTTAAAGAAGAAGAGAAACAGGTATACATCTGAATGTGCTAGATATTTCAGTGCTGTTGTACTTCATAACATGTTTACAAAGAAACAATAGAACTTTATGGTGCCATAGAAATGCAGAGAGATGTTTTCATCTGTGATTACAACCAGGTACCTCCCAAATATAGGATGATTTGAAAGTTATGCAACCCATTCCTGACACATATTCTGTTTATCAAAATATAAACTACACTGAAATCAGAAAAAAACAATTTTTATGAACTTTGTTCAACAAAATTTGACAAATGTTGTCCAAACTGTTGTCACTCAACACTGTTGACTAGAACAGAGTCTGTTCTGCATGTTTCCTGTGTTACTGAGATGGTTCACTAGGTGACATACTGTTAGTTTTTTTGTTACAAGAGAATCGGGAAATGTCCCTAAACTCTTTCTGGTAAGTTAAGTAAGAAGGAAATGGCAGGTAGTGTTCGACAATTAATGCTCATTGCACTTATAAAAAAGACATCCCTGCATTTTGACTGTTTGAATACAGCCCAGCACAAATAAGTTACAACATGACATGACCTGTGTGGGCTCTTATATGGTCATAGCAAAACTTATTTTTGCCTATTATTTCGAAAGTGAAACATTTGTGACCCCATGTTCATAGGAACATTTTTTCTTATTTTTGATCCTGGAACACGCACACAAAGTTTGTGAACATACTTTTGACTCACCCTGTATATGATCTGAAGCTTTCATTGCCAGTATGTATAATGGATTCCTCTTGGGCTACCAGCCATGTAAGGTGGTTTAACAGAGAAAACAGCATCTCAGTTAGTCTGTTCTTGCTTACGTGGCGTCTCAGTTACTCTGAATGTAAAAAATAGTTTTGTAGATGAAGCTTTGCCCTTGATTCTGGTATGTGTGTACAAGCAATGTGTGTTTGCATTATTAGTATATAAGTAATGGTCATGAATAAAGAAAGTTTACTGGCTCATTCCCACTCTGAATCTGTTTATAAACTTTTCTTGGAGGCAACCATACAGCATTGTAGTGAAAACAAAGCACTTCCACTTGGTACATGGAGATCTGTCCTTGACTGTAAACTTAGATTTTGTGTTTGTAAAAGTGCTTCATATCACCACTCGAAGTAACAGCTTGTATGTCTTTTATGCATCAAAATGTTTTATGTTATCATCTCATGGCTTTCTGTAATATCTTGTGATTGGAGAGCCATCTTGTACTTTGAAATCTTCCATTCATTTGATTTTAAAACAGTTTAATTCAAGTACTGCATTTATAGAGCCTAAATATTTAAATCTCCACCCCCCCCCCCCCCCCCAAAAGGTGCACAGTAAGGTTCCTTTTAAATGCCATGTCATCAGAGGGTTAATTGTAGTTTTTTTTATTTGAATGTGAAGAGCCTGTGTGCAGATATTGAGGACAAAGAAATGGAAAACTGTGATGAAGTTGGATCAAAAGATAAAAAATCCATCATCAAGGAAGGGGCTGGTGGAGAGGAGAACCAAGACATGGAAGGAAGTAACGTAAAGAGGAAGAATAAGTTGAAAAATTCGTCTGTTGGAGGCAATAGCATACAGCAATCATCATCAAAGAAACCAATTCACAGTTTTTTTGGTAATGATATTAACTACCTTGATACCTATTCACACTCTTGTTTCTCTTCCTTATACCACGCTGCAGTGCTAGTGCTCTGAACCTGTATGCAAGACGTATTAAGTTTGAATACTGGCTGCATTGCTATTGTTAGTGAGGCACGAGAGTAGACGTGGCCTTGTCAGCCGTTGCTTGTGTGGCAGGGGGAAAATGGGTTCTGCGCATGCGCTGGTGATGTATTACTTACCTAAGAACATTGTGCTATAAGTCAGTCAGTACATTACCTCACGACGTACGGCCTGTATAAGCTGCGAGTGTTTTTCGGTCCGCTAGTAGCGCAGAATTCTACCCCACCTCCCTCAAAGATGTCAGGTCTACTCTCGTGGCTCGTGGACTATACCTGTCATCTCTGAGGTGTTAAATTCTTTCACCCAGCTTCTTCAGACAAATTCTATATAGCTACCTTAAAATAGATTGCAGCTGCCACCTTTAAAATCCTTATGTAATTACCAATCATGAACATTCTCCTGTGCCGTTCACTGTTATAAAAAGTTAGTGATTGAAAGAGCTTGGTTGCGTAGAATCAGACAGTTCCCCTCCCTCCTGTGACTTGTACACTCTATAATTATTTTGGTATGATAAATTCTCTCTTACTACAGAATCCAAAATTACTACATTCTATCCAAAGCTATTCTTCAAGTTTAGTTTACATCCGTGTTTTCTGTTCCCTGCTCCAGTTCAAGATATTGTGTGGAAGTAAGACTTTCTTTGTAACAAACATCTTTGCATATTGTAAGATTTGAGGTTTTCACAGCGGTGAGTATGAAGATTTCTGTCTTCTGGGTTGTTGCGCTGTGTAGTCTGGTCGATGTTAACCAACATTTCAGAGGTCATACTGCAGTATGACCTCTGAAATGTTGTTCTTGTGAACTGCTTAAGAGGTGAATGTGTCAAATCTGTCAAATACTATATTTATGGGAATGTGCATTGGAAGAAAGACAAAGAATACTTATGAGGTGCATGTTTTACCAGTAGGGCTTCTGTGTGCAAAATTATGTTTGTGCCTGAAATTTGTATGTAAGATGTTTTTGTGGACAAGTTATAGTGTTTCTCTGCTCTGAATGGGAGAACTGTCTTATTTTTCAGGTTGCCTTAGAGTTGGATTAATGTGATGGAAATTCTTATGTCCTTTTTATAAATTTTGATTCCAGACATTGATTTTAGTTTTTATCATGTCCTTGTACAAATATGTAATATAATTATTTCAAAGAAAGTTGAATGATATGACCATTAAAAACATGTATAATCTAACATTTTGTTTTAGCACCTCGCAAAAGCACAAACGCAGCAGCACAGCAAAGTAAGACATCACCATCATCTAAGAGAGAAGCCAGTCTGCCCAATAAATCAGCAGCGGGGAAGAAGATAACACTGAAGGACAGTTCTGAGGATGTTGGAACTAATTATGACCCCACAAAAGTCAAATATCATCCCATTGATGATGCTTTTTGGAACAGGGGAGATAAGTACGTCATAGAAATACATTCAGTATATATAAACGTGAAGCCAGTTGAATCTTTAGGACCATGAAAGGGAACATCTGGAAGACAAAATGAATGAGTTTGAAACAAAGAGTAAGAATAAAAATACTAGAGACATGTAAATTCAAGAAGTATTACCAACTTGGGACTAACTTGGTAAAAGATGAGTATTTTGAATAAATTGAAGAATTACTTCTTCCAGGTACTGAATATATGTAGGGTTAAAAGGGGGGTGTGATTGGTAGAGCATGTAATATGCTTGGGGGTCATGAAAAATGCATATAAAATGTTGGCTAAAAGCCCTGAAGGAAAGACCTTGATATAGGTAGGCAGGCACATATGAAGTCTAGGTGAGCCTCAACAAAGTTTAGCAGATTTAAGTGCATCTTCTAAAAATTAGGAGGTAATTACCAACAAATATTAGATATACACTGTTTTCAGTCATTTGCTATAAAATACACATTGTTTTCACAGAAATTTCACACTATGACAAATTGTTTTGAATATGTCTTTGCAAGACCCATAATATTTATTGGAGTGTGTTACATGATGATATTCAACAGGCTTTGACTTGTTTTGTGTGTAAAGAGCATCATTCAGCACATCCTAGGAACAAATTGTTTGCAATATACGTTTATACAAGGTCCTCTATAATGCAGATGCATATTGGCTATAATTTATTTAAATTCACTAGTTATGGCTATCATAATTTCCATACTTTTCTGCAGATTGATGAAGTAATTTGATTAGAATAACTTTTAGTATTTTACTATCAGCTGAATCTGTAATCTGCAGCTAAGTAATTTTAAAATGTTGCATGTGTGAACATAGTGAAACCGTTTTACAATACTCCAAATGCAGTACAGTGAAAATTTTATGGTGCCCAATGCTTGGGATTATTGTGTCCACTACAGACACATTTTATAATTTTGATCTTCCTTGAAACTTCAAAAAATTTATATATATTAATTGTACATAATAAAAATATCACACGCCGTAGCCGCGTGGTCTGAGGCATCATGCTTTGGACTGGTGATATGGAATGCGCGCTGGTTCGAGTCTCGGGGGGGGAAAGAAATTTCTCATGAGATTTTTGACTGGTGTATGGGACCAGTCCCAACCCAGCATAGTGAGGAAATTGGGGAGCTACAATGGGTAGCGTAATCCGGTCATGAAAACTAGCAATGGCTGGGGGTTCGTCATGCTGACCACATGTCACCCTATATCTGTTTGGATGATCGTTCACCTCTGCTTAGGCATGTGAACGTGAGGCCAGCAGCCAGCTAGTTGGCTTTGGCTCTCAGAGGGCTGTTACGCCACGGATTATTATTACATAATAATAATTATGTCCAGAATGGAAAATTAAAATCCTATTTGGTTTATTTCAGAGTCCCGTACCTTGCCTTGGCTAGGACCCTAGAGGAAATTGAGGGTGTCAGTGCTCGTCTCAAGATAATTGAAATTTTGGCAAACTATTTTCGCTCAGTGATAGTTCTCAGCCCGGAAGACTTGCTGCCCAGTGTATACCTCTGTCTCAACAAACTGGCTCCAGCCTATGAAGGTATCTTTTTTTTTCATTGTTTTTAGGGGGTCTCCATAATGTCCACTTTTGATATTTTATAATATTTGTCAGCTTACAGCATCTGCCTGACTTTAGTGCACACCTCACATTTTAAACATAAAATAAAATGTTTTTACTCATCAGTTTTACAAAGTTTATAGAATACCATAGTAGCTAAGTAGAAATACTGGTTCTGTATTAAACATTTTTTGAAGGACTTTATTGAAGCATTTTATGTACCACTTTTACAAAATATTAAAATATTTATACTATGTGGTAGTACACTAATCTGATTGTTTATCTTTACGCAAATCTTTGTCAATGCTAGAATATTCCTGTCAGTTGAGTGGTGACAATTTCTTGACAGTGGTTTGTATTCTTCACCTGTTATAATTAAAAGTGATTAAATCAAGAAGACTTAAGTGAGCTCTGCATATGGTATTCTTTGACGTGACATAAACATGAAATTTTGGTTGGGTATTCTATGTAATGAAGTTACTTGAAAGACTGAAAGGGAGAGTGATGTCAGTTGTAATGAAGTTGCATGAAAGACTGAAAGGGAGAGTGATGTCATGTATAATGGATCTTAAGAAGATAAATGACGACCTTTTCACATGCAACTTCTAGTAAAGTTCCTAATAATTGAACTTGCACGAATAAACATAATAATAGTTATTTTGAGAGGTATTTCAATAAAAACAGTACACAAAAAATTTAGGCAAATGCATTAAGTAAATGGTAAGGCAGATTATTGCTTAAATATCATACGAAATGTTTCTTATCTGTCATCATTTTCAAAGCTTCTAACATGGATTTCTTCTGTTATCATATTGAACATATATTACTCTTATAAATTACTTTCAGCTATTTAAGTCACATTAATACAGTCAGTCTACACTCTCCACCTGCCAGCCCATATTAAACATTTTCACTTCAGCATCTTCTTTGTATTTGTAAGGTATTGAACTTGGTATAGCAGAGACAACACTGATGAAAGCTGTTGCACAGAGTACAGGAAGAACTGTTGCCCAAATCAAGTCTGATACTAATGCCACTGGAGATTTGGGTGTTGTGGCTGAACAGAGTCGCAGTAATCAGCGTATGATGTTCCAACCAGCAAAACTTACTGTTCATAGTGTTTTCAGCAAACTGAAGGATATTGCACAGATGTCAGGCCATGCTGTAAGTATACACAAGAAAGAATTAATTTTTTTCTCTTCTTGACCAGTGTTTGAATCTTGACTTAGAGACAGATTATTCTGAATGAGTTTTTGTTACTTTTACTTATGCAATGCGATTGAGGTCACCTGTATGGAGATCGGTCGTTCTGGCACACCACCACAGGAAACTGGTGGTTCCAGCAGACCTGTGGACGAAGGTGTTCTGCCGTATGTAGCTTTAGGTAGACAGTCATTTGGCACAAACTTAAGTTTTTGGAATGCCAGGAGTAAGTTTAAAGCCTGGGAGAACCAAGATAGTACCAGGGGCATATATAAACCAGGGTACATGGCATTACCCAGGGAGGCCCTGACCAGGATGCCTATAAAGGTAAAATTTGGCTGCAGAGTTACGAGACCGAGACTGGTCGCTTCCTGTCTGCTCTCTGTACAATCGTATGAAGTACAATTACGAGCGCGAGACAAAGACAGAGACAGGCGACAGAGACAAAGCACAGGAGACCGCTCTCGGACCAGTAGTGTCTCGCGACGGGCTCAGGCAGCACGTGTGTTGTTGAGTAAAATAATGGCAGAAATTAAATTTACTGGTGACCAAGATGAGCAATTGGTAGAATTAGTAACAGAAAACCGACCACTGACCACCGACAGAAAGATCCTTCTTCACGTCTGGTTTTGAATATTGAACTCATAGGTTTTCTTTGTTTCTTTCGCAACAAATAACACAGCAACACATCATCTTCTTCTTCGAGTAACCTTTTTAGAAGCATTTTTGTACTCATTTTCCACAGAATATGTGCACGTATGTCTCAACAAAACAAAGAAAACAAACACTTTGCCGCATGTCTCAGTCGTCACCTCAAAAGTGTGTGGCGACAAGCTGCGATGTGTCCGTCTCCCGTCTCTGTCGCCTGCCTCGGTCGCTTGTCTCTGTCGCGTGCAGCCAAATTGTACCTTAAGGCCAAAACCTTAAAGAGATGAATCCTCTTGAGGACACAGGGACCTATAGGGAGGGCTTGATTATGGCCACCAACAAAAGAGCGCTCTAACACATAGCTTCTCACAATGTTGCAGGCAGGCGTTTTTTGAAACCAGGAAATTACTGTGGGATCTCCCAAAGTAGGATACTATGCTTTGCTATAGGTACAGGGCCAGTGACAGATTAGAATGGAGAAGCACAAAAGATCAGCTAATGGTTACATTTTCTGACACGACAATACATTAATAATGTTGGAATCAGTCACTTGTCTACCTGCACAAGTTGAAGTAGCAATTTACTGATACAGTTTTAGTAAAACACCTTCAGTCCAGGTCTCTGTGCAACAAAAAATAAAGGGATAAGAATTTTCTAAGTCTATTGTCATCACCCGATAGCAGATGTAGGACACACCACACATCACAAAATTGAAAATGAACATCTGACTATGAACATTACGAAGACTGAAAAATCTACAAATGAAAATCTACAAAACAAATCAATAAATCAATAAATGGTTGCATTGAAATATGTAATAGTTTTAAAGATAGAAATGACGATATAAACCTGAAGATGATGCAATAATAGCATCGAAACATGTCGTTAATAATAAGCGCCGAATAAATGTAACATCGTAATACGATGAAAAGCGCTATAATTTTAACAACAACATTTTAAATTAAGTTTGTGTATAGACTGGAATAATAAATACATACTTAGTTCAACACAAACATGACACATCTAAGCTACATATTTTCTTTGTATTTGTCCATGTGTGGCTTTTCTTTACCCTCCATTAATTACAATTAGTTATGCCGAGCATCTATTACGCAAAGGCAGCAATATTTCTGCATAGTTTGCAGAAAAACATTTATTAATCTTAATGACTTTTCGAGACTTACTATATGAATAAGTTCTGTAACTAAACAGTGGTAAAGGCTACCTCACTTGAACATCCATATTTGCAGGTATCCAAATGGAAAGCCTAGAAGGCTAGTGTGGATCTGAAGGTTAGATTTTCAAACTGTGGTATCTGCAGAAGTTTTTTATGAATGCGTATATTGTATTTGCCCAAATACTCAATTGAACTGTGTATTTGTTTGTTTTTCAACTACATATTTCAAATTTTTTAAGTGGAACTTATACCAAGAGCAACTGGAAATGGATGCCAGAATATGTAGATTGAGATACACAAAAGAGAATGTGTAATTATTGTTTGTCTGTAAAGCATATACAGTCCAGTAACATTTGTTAATGAGCAGTTGTCGGTATTATTATACACAATACCACTGTATTATTTGTGAGGTTAGAAGCATGAAGGAAGCTGGTATTTGTTATATTTCTGTGATATGTTGTTTATTGGCATTGTAATTTAAAGGTGCCATGTTTTAATCTGATTGTAGACAAACATTATTTGGACAAAACACATGCTTCAGAAGTTATTATATTTCTTAAAATATAGCATGTACTTATAAAAAATATAAATTGGTATGTTGTCCCTTGAAAGGGAGAAGAATTAAGGTCATATCCTGGAATCAGGAGTACATTTCTAGGTGACATTTTTTTCCTGAGGAAATAACATCTTTGTTTACCAGTGTTACATTTTCATTTAGTTTACAGAATAAGAGATGCTTGTACATGGTTGTTTTATTTTGAAATTTCAGGCAATGAGCAAGAAAGTGGACAAGATTCAAGCAATGTTTGTAGCTTGTCGATATTCTGAGGCTCGTTTCCTCATCCGCTCCCTTGCTGGCAAATTGCGTATTGGTCTTGCTGAGCAGTCTGTTCTTCAGGTAAAAGTTACATTGTAAGACTTGAGGTTCTCACAGCGGTGAGTATGAAGATTTCTGTCTTCTGGGTTATTGTGCTGTGTAGTCTGGTCGATGTTAACCAACGTTTCAGAGGTCATACTGCCTCCGTCATCGCCCTGATGACGGAGGCAGTATGACCCAGAAGACAGAAATTTTCAAAAGTTACATTATTTAAGTTGTGTTACATCTGCTCTGTTCAACTGTTGTTTATGCTAGTTTTTGTTTGTTGTAATGTCTGTTATTACTCCATTATTCTACCAAACATAACGACTGATTCAAATATGTGCTGTTTTGGTTTCCAGGCTCTTGCACTTGCATGCGCTACAACACCTCCAGGGCAGCTTTACCCCCCTGAAGTTATCAGTGCAGCTAAAGGCATGTCACAAGATACATTTAAAGCTCACGTTGATGAAGAAGCTCTTATACTTAAGACAACTTACTGGTAAATATAGAAGTTCCAAGGCTTTCCAGATGTGATGTCTCAAATTTGAAATTTAAGAGATGATCAGATTTTGATGGAACATTATAACTGTAATGTCCTGAAATTCATACCCCAAAAAATTAATTACAGGTACCACTTTACATACAAAATAATTTAATTTCTACAAATACAGTGTAACTGCAACAATCCTGATTTAAATTAAAAATTAAATTAAATCCGTGGCGTAACAGCTCCAGAGTGCCAAAGCCGACTAGCTTGACTGCTGGCCTCAAGTTCACATGCCTAAGCAGAGGTGAACGATCATCCAACCAGATGTAGGGTGACGTGTGGACAGCACTACAAACCCCCAGCCATTGCTAGCTTTCCTGACCGGATTATGCTACTCATTGTAGCTCCCCAATTTCCTCACGATGCTGGGTTGGCACCGGTCCCATACACTGGTGGAAGGCTCATGAGAAAATTTCTTCTTCCCCGAGACTCGAACCAGTGCGCATTCCGTATCACCGGTCTGAAGCATGATGCCTCAGACCGCGCGGCTACGGCGTGTGACACAATCCTCATTTATTGTTAGTTATTTTCTGTAATAACCATTTCAAAAAAATAATAAATACCACCCTATCCACATTATTATTTCAAACTTAGTGCCATTTTGTCATATACATAATTAGTATGTAAGACTTGAGGTTCTCACATAATTAGTGGTTGTGAGACATGATTGGATGTTATGCATTTCAATAACATTCAGCACCTGTTAGAAGGAGCATCTTTCCTGATTTTATAAAATCTTGTTATATTGAGGTTACACTGTTGTCATTTAATATTCACTGGATTAAAAGTTATTGCAGACAACATTTTTAGAGCTTAGTGAAATAAATATTTTATTTTATATGTATTTTTTCCATATAAAGGATCTCTTCCATCAGTGCCTGACATAGAACTGTCATAAGGCAGTTTAGGGGAAATACACATTTTTTAAGAGTATTTTTAATTAAGAATATAGATGTTCTTCCACTTTTGATTTGCACAAGCAGTTGTTTTTTGGACAGATACCAAATGTTGAATTGTTAACATGTTTGTTCTGTATTCAGGATCTTTAGATCAATTTTCAATCTGAATGCTAGTTATCCTGACTGAAGATTTCATCATTAATTATCATCCTGCCATTTGACATGATATAACATATGCAGTTGAGAAAAAAGTAAAGCATCCCGCTACACGCCTATGTAGGCACTTGGGGGTAGCGGAGGTATAGCTCCTACTCTTTCTTGACCTCGGCACCAGATGGGGTGAGTGGTCAGCATCACACCCCGGCCGCGCTTTACCCCCGTGAAAGGACCCTGGTACCCATTGGATAGGAGACTGGGTGGGCCCCAGAGTCGGTCTGGACGCAGAGGCTAGAGGAAAAATCCTCTGCTCCGTCAGGGATCGAACCCCGGTCACCCAGCCCTTAGCTAGTCACTATACTGACTGAGCTATCCCGGATAAAGTTGAGAAAGCATGATTAAATACTCTTGGACCAATGTCATATAGCACGAGTATTCATGTCCTGTAGTTTGTCATGTTTCCTTTCATTCAGTCTTACTACTAAAATAAAGTTAAATAGACTAATTATCTTTTATTTAATTTCTTTCAGTGAATGTCCAAATTACAACATGATAATTCCAATACTCTTAGAGAAAGGAATCAGAGCCCTTCCTGATCACTGCCACCTCACTCCTGGAATTCCCCTGAAACCAATGTTAGCACATCCTACTAAAGGTGTGCAAGATGTGCTGCATCGATTTGAGAATCTCAAGTTTACCTGCGAATGGAAATATGATGGTGAACGTGCACAGGTATGTTTATTCACTAGGGCTGTCAGTTCAATAAAAATTGTTAACTGGTTAACCAGTTACAGTTAATTAATAAGCAGAGGAGCTATGTTTTTCTATAATGTGATTGCTTTTAGTTATTATTGAGTAGGTGACAGATTTTTATTATCTGGACATGTGCAATAACATAAACTTCATAAGATATTGTAAATGCGTCATATTGTGATTCATAATATTAAAAATACATTAAAAATTTACCGTCAATCACAATTATAATAATGTTAAAAGATTAAAACATCATTTAATGTTCCTCATCGTAGTATTCGATTACAGGAACCTACACGACTAGTTTCGGCTACAATTTAGCCATCAACAGGTGTTATGTAGTATAAACCTATCACTAATCCTGGGTCAAGAAAGACTTACTAGTTAGACTAGGCTGACTTGACAGTATGTACAGTTCACTGACAGGAGGTAATTTAGTGATGACAAAGCAGCACTCTGAAGCTAACCATTGTGGAAGACTACAGCAGATACATGGAGTATGTTGACCAGAGTAACTGGATTACAAACTGTTGTTTTATCAGTCACATCCCCTTTTTAAATTGGACAGTACTCTACAGATTGTTCGTACATCATGTGGTGCTGAATGTTTTTGCAGAGGTTGTGTATGTGGGATTGAGGTTTTCATGGCAGTGAGTCTGAAGATGGCTGTCTTCTGGGTTGTTGCACTGTGTAGTCTGGTAGAAGTTTACCGACGTTTCAGAGGTCCTTTCTGCCTCCATCACCAGGGCGGTCACGATAATTTTCAGTACCCAGTGTGCATAATGGTTCCACTACCACTCAAGCCAATCTAGAGAATAGACCCAATGATTTAGGCTGCCTTCTGTTTTATGATATTCATGTAAGGGACTGTCAAGTAACAAGGACCAAAATGTTTGGCATTCACTTTCACATTTTGTAAAAACATATTTATGGAAATGAAGAGTCAGAAATATTAATGTTACAAAAAAGTATATTTATTTCAGATACATCTTGCAGAAGGTGGAACCATCAGTATCTACAGTCGCAATCAAGAAGACAACACTAGCAAATATCCAGACATTATTGGACGACTTTGTAAGACATTGGGTGAAAATGTTACTTCATGCATCCTGGACTGTGAAGCTGTAGCGTGGGACAAGGAGAAGCAACAGATCTTACCATTCCAAGTTCTTAGCACACGTAAAAGGAAGGTGATTATTGTTTTTTTCATATTAATGCACAGCTTAGTTGCTCAGAAAAACAAAGCATTGGAAAGTATACTTGGAGAACTCATTTTCCTAATGAGTTCTTTTTGATTTTATATACCTCATTGCCACTGATGATTTCTACTATTCCAGATACAAATCTGTTTGAAAGCTGTTAATGCTACATAAAGTTAGAAATCCCCCCCCCCCCCCTCTTTCTTCCCCCCTCTTTTCTTTTCCGTTTATTATATGGCGATAGGGAATTTAAAGCTTCATACTATAGGACATCCCAAGACAAATAGTATCAACTTGAATTCTTTAGTTGATATTCAAATAGTCAGTGGGAAAATAAAGTCGTACTTATCCTCCTGACTTGCGTATAAGGTAACTTGTCAGGATGGAATAGTACTGAAACAATAGCCGCCACGGTGGTCCAGCGGTCAGAACACTAGCCTTGTAATCCTGGGGACCTGGGTTCAATTCCCGGTGGTGCTCAGATTTATAACTTGTGTTGGGCAAGGCTGTGGTGTAGGCATCACGGAGTTTTCCTCTGGGGGCTTTCCCGGTTTCTTCGTGGCATCCCAACAATTACTCCACTCACTCACACAGAAGAAGGCAATGGCAAACCACTTCTGATCATCTGCCAAGAATGTATATATGTATGAGCAGGGCCCTGACAACCTGAAGAGGATGGAAGGATCCTGTTCATAATATATGGACTTGTCGTCAGACAGAACACTAATAATAAAATAATAAAACTATAGGACTGTGCCAGCTGCACTTCACCTCTGAGGTTAACAGTTTAGCAATATGCTACTGTGGCACATAACCTGCAATACATGGAATACATTTTTTTTATAAATTTTATAAAATTTGGTAAGAGCTTCATTTAAAATAGATTTAGTATTATATTGATAGGAATTAACATGTAATAATTGTGACAGCTTTCAGTGTAGACCTGAAATATAAATTTTTGTCAAATTTGATTTATTCAATTTGAAGATGAAATATGCAGACATATCCAGCTCCCTATTATGTGCTAATTTTATTCATTTTGTGCAAGTAACATAAAAATCAATAAGCATGAAAGTAGGTTAGGTAAGATAAAGATAAAGTTTCACAAGCTGTGAAGATGAGTAGGGAGTAAAGTGGTAAATCTCTGTTTTGTCCATTCAGAGCATTGTGCTGATGAGAAAAGTTTAGTCTGTAGTGAGTCATAAATGTACGAGTAATTGTGGCTGAGCTGATTGAGATAGTGGTATAATTCTACGCTTGTATCTGGGAGATATGCGGATAAAATCTGCCTGTGTAAGAAGCTATATTGAGACTTTCTGTGGTTTTCCTGAGTCTCTGTAGGTGAATAGTACCTTCATATTCATCATACTTGTCTATTTCCAGTTTCTAATCTATTTACCATCACATATATAATCTCTGCTATTGACACAGTATTAAAGAAACTAAAGTCAGTGTAGGAAATGGAGTGCATTTGTTAAATTTCTGTATTATTTGTGTAAAGAGAATGTATTATGCATGCTTTTCATTGTCACAGTATAAAAATTCACTTACTATTATTCCATCTTAATATACTTTCTCATATAATCTACAGGATGCAAGTGAGGCAGAGATAAAAGTACAAGTTTGTATCTTCATGTTTGACCTACTATATTTAAATGGGAAAGCTCTTGTGCGGGAACCTCTGACCAAAAGACGTGGCCTGCTTCATGAAAATTTCAACGAAGTGGAAGAGGAATTTATGTTTGCCAAGAGTATTGATATCTCAGCCATGGAGGAAGTCCAGGACTTCCTAGAAGGATCTGTTAAAGGTAATTTTTACACACATGCAACTCTGCTATTAAAAACATAAAACTTAAAGTGATGTGTTATATGGGAAATATGCAGCAATGAGGCCATAAATTAAGGAATGAGGTGTTCTGTATATTCATTCATTTATTTGTCCAGTATGTCAACATATATTGATATTGGATATGTCATGTATGCATCAAAGCACATAAAATAAGGATTATAAAGACTGAATCCTGAATACGTGAATTTGAAATGAAAAATACACTGTAACTAAGAATTGGTTACAGGTATACAGTTTATGTGAGATAAATGTGACAGTAAAGTGAAAAATAAAATACCAATTAGTTGTCATTATAATTATATAGCACAATAGTGGAATAAGTCCAACATCAAACAGAAAACAAAATGGCAGAAAACAGACATGCATACCTGTAGGGATGCAACTGGGCTGGTAAGGAAGCCAGTTTGGGTGAATGTGCGAGATGAGTAGCCATATTTAATTAGGAAGACTCAAGTGCAGGTATGAGTGAAGTCATCATTTATGTATTCCTCAGTTAAGTAATGGCAACCTTTTAGGAAGATGTTTCTTGGTGATGTTCATATCCAGATTATTTTCACATATTGGAGCGAATGTATTGTTTTGAAGTGAAATGCTTTTGATGTTCTACATCGGCCAAAGATGAGAGTGTAGACACGTTGATTGAACCATGCCTGTTCGGATACGCTAGTATTTCTAGACACCTCCAGACACATCAACGTGTCTACACTCTCATCTTTGGCCGATGTAGAACATCAAAAGCATTTCACTTCAAAACAATACATTCGCTCCAATATGTGAAAATAATCTGGATATGAACATCACCAA